GTTCATACACAATATTATTATGTGCATACTAGACAAAATCAATACAGAAGCTGCGCAGAGAACGTAAATAGAAATCTGCACATCCCCACTTTTGGTATGACCAATTTTACCTCACATCCGGCTTCATGGTAAATCGTTCTTTCTGTCTCTGGAAGCGGTGAAGGTAAGACGTTCGTCTGTTATCTAGTTTTCATTTTACTTCGATCAATAATTGGTTCTATTCATAATCGGATTACTGTTAATTATCATTTTTCTTTCAACTATTCCTTCTGATATAAAGTAATTCAAAATTTAATTTTAGAAATCTACATCACTTGATCGAGTAGAAGAAATTTCATTGAACATCAAATTAATCGAGGATTGAAAGGTTATTGCAAACATCAAATATGTAAGTAAAATCTAAATTTCAAAACTTTTAAAAAGTTTATATAATGTTGTAAATTTCAAAATTCATTAGTGCACAATTGCATTCCTGTTTGTTAAGAAAATTATTCTCGGTCGGCCATTTTACAAATATCTGCAATGCGTCACTTCTAAACGTTCTTTCTGCGGTATAGAAATTAAAAAAACATTAGTATTATATAACATTAACGTGCTTCAGATTTATTATTTCTCTATGAGTATTATTTAATAAGTTATAAATCAATTGACAAATCGAAATCATTGAAATAAATTGTGTTTATAATAAGCGATAAGACTATAAAAATAGTTAATACAGTTTTTTATTTGAGTTTCATTGAAGTGATTATCACTTAAAGGTTGCGACAAGTAATTGGGTCTTTGGGCGCTTTAAGACTTAGGTTTGTATAAAAATGAATTAATCATTACATTTCATATATTTAAAATCTCAAGTTTTAGTAAAATTTTAACCTTTTCGGGAAGGCGTGGTTAATTACGCCATGTTATTCAATGGCCGACATACGATCAATACTTCTACACAATGAATTTTGTTCAATAATCATTACTATTTTTAATGAAAGTTATGTAATAGATTGATAATGTTATACACAGGAAATTGTTCAAATTGAAATATATATTTGGTTCGAATGTTATCATAGAAAACTAGATAAATTAATCAACGTATATATGTATGCATATATAGATTCTCAGCGGCCATATTAAATATTTCGGCACTGTCTAGCACATTCTTTGATTGCACCGAAAAGGTTATATACTACACGCCTTGCGAATTTTGATAAAAAGAATAAGTTTTGAATCCAATCATACACTTAGTATTGAATAAACTATCTACAAATGCAGAATTACAGTTTCTTTTTATTATTATATTTGTAGCAGTAAAGTATAGTAAATTTTCTGTAATAAATTACCGAGGTTGTTTTAATAAAAATGGAAGCATACTATGTTATTTTCATAGATTGCAATTCTAGTTAACATTTACGACATTTAAGAAAGTTTTCTTTTTTATAATTTATTATTTTCATTATTTGTTTATTAACACAGGGTTATTCATTTTGGAAAAATGAATCTCATTCAGATGTTCTATATTATGATATTTAAAGACAAACAAATTTATTATTTGATGCAGGAAAATATTTTATACAGCTTAACATTAAAATCCAATTAGAAACATTTTCTGGTCATATTTTTATTATAAAAATCTTATTAATTGGAAATATAATTTTGTAGTTCCTAATACTAAATGCTGGTAATTTTAATTTACGACTATTTATGATTCAATACTAGGGTTATGAACCTCTCATTTTGGCATGCCTCCATGACGTATATCAATGGAGCATGAATGCTTGTGGGAGGGAAAACAAACGTGAACATGCCTTCGGAATCCACACATTTCTGTCTGGAGCCGTTTCTCAATGTTCACTACATAAATACCTATCTACAGTCCCCAAATATTTTATAGTAAAAGAACTTTTAATGTTAATGCTATGGTTTTTTCTTTTTTGTAGGACGTACGGCGCTATGTCTAACGGTTATAGTAATGGGAATTACCGAGGTGGTAATAAAGTTCCCAGACGAGGATATGGGGGAACCAACAGCACCACTAATGGACGTTTTGGAAATCGTAACAACCAAAACTCTAAGAGTAGCGCTGGTACTAATTTAAGGAAACCAAACTGGAGCTTCGAAAATCTAAAGCCTTTCAAGAAAGATTTTTATGTACCTCATCCTAATGTACAAGGACGTCATCCACGAGACGTGGATGTATTTAGACAAGAAAACCAAATTACTTTAAAGGGAGACAAGGTCCCTAATCCTATTCAACATTTTGAAGAGGGAAATTTTCCTGACTATGTAATGCAAGGGATTAGAAAACAAGGGTTCAATGAACCAACTGCTATACAAGCACAGGGATGGCCAATTGCAATGTCTGGTCAAAATATGGTTGGAATAGCGCAAACCGGGTCTGGAAAGACATTAGGATATATTTTACCCGCAATAGTGCACATCAATAGTCAGCAGCCATTAAATCGTGGTGATGGCCCAATTGCTCTTATATTAGCACCGACCAGAGAATTAGCGCAACAAATTCAAAGTGTGGCTAACGATTTTGGTTCTTTGTCCTACGTAAGGAACACCTGCATTTTTGGTGGTGCACCAAAGGGAAGTCAAGCACGCGATTTAGAACGGGGAGTTGAAATTTGTATTGCAACTCCTGGACGACTGATCGACTTCTTGGAACGTGGTACAACGAATTTACGCAGATGTACCTACTTAGTATTAGATGAAGCTGATAGGATGTTGGACATGGGTTTTGAACCACAAATTCGAAAAATTATTGAACAAATTAGACCAGACAGACAAGTTCTTATGTGGTCAGCAACTTGGCCAAAGGAAGTTAGAAACCTGGCAGAAGAGTATCTTACAAATTATACACAATTGAATATAGGATCATTAACGCTGGCAGCCAATCATAATATTCTTCAAATTGTGGATGTTTGTCAGGAACATGAAAAAGAAACGAAGTATGTAACATCATTTTTACTTTCCATTATATCAATTTTCTAAACTTCTAATATATAATATTTTTTCTGATGATACTAGTAAATGATCTTATATGATTCTACATACCATAACCCTTTAAGAAGAACTGATTTTTATTGCTGTATAAAAGATTTTTTTTGTTTAATACACTTTTGAGTGAAAACTTTTTTTATTTTACTTTTAGGTTGGGCTCGCTTCTTCAAGAAATTGGCAATGTCAATGACGATGGTGGAAAAACTATAATTTTTGTAGAAACTAAGAAGAAAGTGGAGAATATCACAAGAAATATTCGTCGTTATGGATGGCCCGCAGTGTGTATGCATGGTGACAAATCACAACAAGAACGAGATCACGTCCTTAGAGGTATGTATTGGGTGCAGTAGCATTTTTTTTCTCAATATTTAAGATACTTCACAATATCTTCTCTTCTATTAATCTATACGTTATGTAATTAAATTTTAGAATTTAGGAACAACAGAGGTTCAATTCTCGTAGCAACGGACGTTGCTGCTCGTGGATTGGGTAAATATTAATAAATCTTTTAAGTTTAATTAAAGATGTGAGACTTTCAAGAATGCATTGATGCTTAGATAGATAAACTGCATTTGCGAAAATCTGTACTTGTTTAGAAAGGGATAGGGGTAAAGTGGCGATGTAGCACAGACTGGTTATATGAAGGTGATGCCTCACAATATTTAGCATAAATATAAACTTACTAATTTCAAAAATAGTTTTCCAAGTTGCAGAAAACGAAGTATAAATATTTCTTCTTGGAGGAGTATGTATTACTCTGTAGAATTTGGTGATGAATGAATAGGCTGTATACCAAGTGATACAAAAAAATTAACATTCCACCGAAATGTTTCTAATACAAATTCTCAAACTTTACATAAGCTTAAAGGTTTGAATAGACGGCATTAGTTAGCTGGTATATTCGTATGTTTTTATTTATTTGTATCACTTAAAGTCTCATATGTATATTTAAATATAAAATTTTTTTCTGGATCTTTATGTTCTCACAGTCTAGGCATTTTTGTAGTACATTAAGTTCTTATAATACCATAGGATTTGAAAATATTCGTTCATAACTATAGTGCTCTATATAATAAGGAGGTATATAGGTCGTAGATAAAGGGTTACAATTTTTGAAATAGGTTAATATTTTATTTACTTCGCGATTGAAGAGGGAAATAATTTTTTCATATAAAATTTTGTAATTGATATCTTTATTCTATTATCGAATATTAGGAATTTTATATATCTGTAGAAAGTACCGAAATTTTTTTTATTCCGTTTACTATTTTACCAGCGTTACAAATAATTTACTAATGCAATCTATTTCTTAATTCAAACGAAAAGGAACAATGTTTAAAATCATGCGCTTGTGTTAAAGAATTGAGAGCAAATATTGGAATACAGGAAACTAGGAGTAAGTGTGGGCATCTTATAATTTATGTTAATCAGTCTGGTTGTCCTTTGTTTCAGAGGCACATGGTGCACAAATTGTGTTGAGTGTGCGATGAAAACGATCGTTCGATAAGAAAACATGGCTCACTCACTGTACATGCGCAATTGTGTTTTGCACATAATATTGTACTTAATGTGCCTCTGTGTTCAGCCTGTGTACCACGCAAGTAGTAAAGTGGTGCGCGGGTGGTGCCGTTATCGCGCTGGTTGGGTGTGAGACTTATCACGGGCTTAACCGTGGTTTGCATTTTGGTACAACTGTCACACTTCATAGCCAATGCTCAGCCGGTGTCAGAGACAACAATCTATTGATTTTGCTACTATCGCTACTCGCTGGTGATGCTTAGGACACAACATTGCGATGTGTACTTGCATTCAAGAATAGCGCCCCTGGGGTGCTCTGTATGCAGTCCACATGGAATGCAATGTTCAGCGGTAACAGGGTTTGTATTTATTACTATGCAGCTAACTTACATTCATATGCATTTAACTTGACTCCAAAGTTGATGCAAACTTTTTGAAAGTATTCTATGTGAACCTTTCATATTTGAAAATCAAGGTGTCAAACAATTTAAAATGATTGTTGAAACAATTTAATTATTAAAACTAGTTTATATGACATAGGTATAATCTATGTCATATAAATCAGAACTTCG